GGTATTGTGCATGGTTTGATGAACCGTTCTATCCATCATGATCTTTCAAAGGATGAGGCTGCCATCTTCGGGTGGAGCGGTGCGACTGCGGTGGTGAATGAGCAACTTCTTGCACTGACAAAAGTAAAGCAACCTCCGCATGATGCAGGGGCTTTTTCTTCTTCCTCTTCAAGTAGTCATGCGCTTCCGCAGACAAAAATGCCGATGGAAGTGGCACTTACGGCGTTTCACATGATTCTGCTTTACAATGATCGTCTTGTTGTGTTGAATCACCCTGCGGGTCTCACATGGCGAGGCTCGTCCTCAACGTTACACGGTGACTGCCCGTATGCATGTGAAATAGAGGAACGCATACGATTTGACCCCTTTCGCGCCACGAGGAAACTCCCGGAGTTGCGTGGAATTGTGCGAGACACGGCAGCACGCAAGATTTACATTTTTGGAAAAAATATTTTGTGGGAGCTTCAGGTGGAACAAGAACATCGACAGCAGTGGTGGTTGTTTTTGTATCGAGCAGTGAACCGCAATGAGTCACTCCCATTAAGAAAGCGTTTTTTCCAAGCCGCATACAATATTAGCAAATATCGTGCCTCCAGCAAAAATATTGTTCAGTTACTTCGGGGTAAATTTCTTCTTCAGATTGGAGCCATTCAATACGCAACGGATATTTTGGCCGACTGCGATCGCTTTGAAGACATTTACGATCTTCTGGTCTCTCTACGCAATTACAAGGTATTGCAACTCTACGTGGAGAAGCGATACAAACTTTTGTCCAAATATGCTTTGGATACACCTGTAATGCAGACCCAGCTGGCATGTCTTTTTGCCCTTATTGTGATGCAACGGCTGAACGGCACTACACGAAGTGAGGTGAGTGAGAAAACGAGTGTGGAAGCAACCGCGAGTCTAAATGCATTCATTGAACAGACTATAAAGGAGAAACCCGCGTTGTTTAAAAGTCGTTCATATAATGATCTTATCGCCCGCCTGTTGGAAGGACAAGGAAGGCCCGAACTGGCTCTTTGCTTTGCAGAGAGGATCAAAAAGGCCCACTATCTCCTTACGTATTATGTTTCGCATGGGAATTACATCCAGGCGGCCGATGTTCTTTCAACGCTCGCACGGCGAACGGAGACCCTTGAACTGTGGTACGAATTTTCTCCTGTTCTCATGAAAAAATGCCCGATTCGACTCACCACCGCCATGCTGCGCGTCGGGACACGCGACTCACAGGGAGGGGCGTATATGTTGCTACAACTGGAACGGCTCATTCCGATTTTTATTCAGTACTCCCCAGAGATGAACGAGGATCCAAGCAATGGGGAACACCAAGTTATCATCTTCTTGGAACGCTGTATCAACAAATTTGACTGTGTGTCGACTGTTGTGCATGATTACTACTTGAGTCTTCTTGCGCAACATGATGGAGAGCGATTGGAGGAATTTCTTGAGTCGTCTCTTTTTTATAGTGTTGATTTTGCGTTGCGACGATGTTTGGAGGCCCGCAGATACCGGCAATGTGTCGGACTTTATCGTCGGTTACACCTCTATGAAGATGCCATACGCACGGCTTTAGAATGTTCCGATCCGACACATGGCACGGACGAGGAGTGGCCCGCCCTACGTGTTGCAAAAGATGTTCTTCGATCCCTTCCTAACAGTATGGAATCGTCAAAAGTAAAGAAACTTTGGCTTATTGTGGCACAGTCTGTGTTAGAGAAGGGCAACGCCCGCATGGCGCTTAGTGTCGTGGAGGATTCTGGCGGTGTACTGAAGCTTGAGGATATTCTTGGGGACATTAGTGATAGTTTGGTTGTACAAGAATTTAAGGACTCCATATGTAAGAGTCTGGACGCATATACATCCTCCATTGCAGCGTTGCGGGATCAACAACTCGAGGCAAGTCAAATATCCGAAAATCTAAAGCAGGAAATTGCCCAATTACAGGATCGGTTTGGATACATTACGACTCGGCAACGATGCATGTTATGTCACCGCCTCCTGTTACGAGGTTCTGCACCATATTTTATTTATCCCGATTGCCAGCATGCGGTACATGAGGCCTGTGCCGTCTCAAAGCTGGAGGAAATTGGCGGTCTGGAGGCTTTCCTTGCAGATGAGGGTTTGCCAAGGCAATTTCTGGAGGGTGTGACTTCTACGAGTGACCTGGCACAAATGGAATGTGTTCTTTGCGGCGAGGCGTCTATAATTGAAATTGACATTCCCCTATTTGTCGAGCACCACTCGTGGTCCGTGGAGTAGTGACAAGAGAGAGGCCCTTTCATCTCTTTTTTGTTGTTGCTTTTTTTGGGCGGTGGTGCCATTATTTGTATCGATGCCCTTTCTTGGGCCAACGAGTTTTTTTTTCTTTTGTTTGCTCCTCTTTTTTGTTGTTGTTCTTGTTGTTTCTTTGTGGTATTTCCTTTTATCTATTTTTATTTTTTCTTTCTGGGGGGGGGGGGGGTTATCCACCCGCTGTCTGCGCATGTGTTTTTTGATGTAATTTTGAAAAGTAGTGGACGGGATGAAGTTTTGGGTCAAAGCTATCACCGACGACAATTTTCAGGAGCAGCTCCTCGTGAAGGCGAGCAATTTGCCGGAGCTCACGAAAGAGCTCAGTAGACTTCTCCACACCCACGTGACGTGGATGTCCGTGTCAGACTTTCAAACCCAAGTGGTGGAGAAACTCAAAAGTGGTGTTGAAATCCTCCCAGTGAAAATTCTGACGTCTAAAATGGCGGGGCAGCCACACGATGGGGAGACGAGTTTTGTATGCTCAGAGCCACACACACAGCACGCAACACCAGCACAAGTTGACATCTCACAAACATCGAGCAAAGAAGACGAGGCTTGGCCGTTTTCGTCAAGAAGTCCTAGTCTTTCAGAGGCGGGAGTGGTTGCTCGCCCGTCCTCAGCAAGTTGGGCATTACTTGATATTCCTCAGGTGGATCGCATTTGTCTTTTCCGCAAGGACATTGAACTGCTACTGCACCCTTCTTTTGGTGGAACCTATGTTGATATAGTTGCTGGTTGCTTTGTTCGTATTCGCGAAAGACAAGATTATGGCCTTTACCAAATTATACGTTTAATTAACAATATGGAAGTGTTATTAGACATAATTCACTACGAAGAAACACGTTCAATAGAGGTGGTCAGTAATGCACCACCCGTCCCACAAGAGGTGAGCACATGGGGTAAAAAGATGGTATCGGCACATAGGTGCTTTATGGCTCCAGGGTTTATTGAGGACAAGCTAGGGGATATTGATTCGGCGATGCGTGCAGCAAGAGCCACTTTACAAGACCAATATTTTCAGATGGGTATCACTCCTCCTCTGACACCCCCTGCTCATGCTCGAGATTCAAGTGGACAACACCGACGCCGTACTTTGCTTGCCCGAACCCGCATGTATCCTTTTATTTCGCTGGGACAATTAGTTCTTGAGACCAATGATGTTCTTCTTCATGCGCAGGTTTCTGTTATTGAAGAACCTGAAACAGATGCCTTTGACCTTGTTCTCTTTGCCACTCGGCATGCCAACAGTGGGAAGGAAAAAACTCGTCCTTCAGACTTTGCGGGCTGTATGCTGACGATAAACAAGAGTGGCGAGCCTCCTGTTATTTTGAGCGACAGAGATGTGACAGTAAAGGGGTATGAGGTGTTTTGTCCTCCACAGAAGTGGGATTGTCAATATGTGACACTAGGACAAATTCAACCATCTGTCGATAGCATCCTTTACTTTGATGATGAGAAAAAATACACACAAGAGTTTACGGTACTTTCTGGAGACTTGTTTGGGGGTTTATTCAACTCACCGACGACGACGATGCTTCCCATTCCTGTATGGGCAAAGACTGAGGGAGTTTCTGCACATATTATACGCCCTCATCTTGTTGTGCATAGAGAGAAGTTACATGCGTTTTACATTGTCCGAATGCTGGGTCCACACCCACCTCACCGTTCAAGTTTATTCCGGGTAAAGGGATGTGGTGGATTGGGTGCCCAGGTGGGCGGAGAGGAAAGCTCAATTGCAAATGTTGCTTCTGATGAAAAAAAAGCTGTTGATACTTCTCCAACATCCGTTGGCAATGCTTCATGTGATGGTAGTTTTTGTGAGAATGCAATGGTCGGAGTTTGCCGTTACAGTCTTGCCCATGCTGTGTGCTTGGACCCCGAATTGCATTCATGGAAGCTTGTGACGGAAAAGGGTCCTCTATTTTCCTGTTTTTATTCCATGCCAATATTTACGGTGGCTTCTACCTTTTATGCCAAGCAAGACTCGGATGAAGCCTGTTCTACACCGTTGAAAAATAAACAAAAGGTCCTTCAAATCCTTTGGTATGAGGAAGATTCTATATTGCGCCAACCGTCATCTCTCACATATCGCCCTTCCCGTTTGTCGCTGCCGTCGAGTTCCACCATCAGCAATCGTGCCTCCTTACCATTTGAACGCTTGGTGAATTCGCATGAGGAATTACTGCCAGAGCACTGGGTACAGGAACCATGCTACTCTCCTGTTCGAGTGGATGTTGAGTCACTCAAGGTTGCTGTGGCTTCACTCTCATTGTTTGAGTGTTATAGTACCACATTTGCTGCTTGTTTGCAGCGGGATGATAAGCAAAGGTCCGTTCTAACAGTACTGCCCTTGACAAATGAACCATAGTTTGTGTCTTTTGTGCATGTGTTATTTTTTTATCTACTGTTATTATTATCTTTTATGTATTGTTTAGCTGCTATTTAGAATGGTGGGAAGAGAAATAGAAGGTGGTGATTGTTGTTTTTGAAGCCTACTTTTTCTTCTTTGCATTCTATTTCTCTTTACAGCATGCGTGTGTGTTTGTGTATGCAGACGGGCTCCTTCAAAAACACTGAGCGTATTGCCCGAATTTTACTTAACTGTTTGACTGATATAGTTCTTTCCGCTTTTTTGTTTGTTTGTTTGTTTACGAACGTCTTGGTGAGAGTGTTGGTTGTCTGAAATTTTGTATATGGTCGCCGTTATTGTTTTTTTTTTCTTCAGCATTGAAGAGGACTGCTGTCTCGGAGGTGTTTTTGCCTCGCGTGGGTGTATTTAATGGGGAATAGTTTTATACGCGTTGTGAGGCTGACACCGCACCACCTTTTCGCTCCATGGATTGAGAGAACGAGGAATAATTAAAGGGGGAGAAATGGGGAGGGACGCCTTTTATTCCGCAGCATTCACGGTGCAATCCCTCCACACTTTGTTGAGTATTCACTCTTTTTGTGTGTGTGTTTTATTATTTCACTGAATTATTATTATTATTTTTTTTTTTTCGATGACGGGTGGGCGTTGGACTCTGTAGCGCTTGTCACGGGGGCGTATTTCATTGCATTTTACTGCGGTCTTTTTTGTTTTGTTTTGCTCTCTCTCCCTCTCTGTGAGAGACTTTGGGCTATTCCTCACGAGCCTAAACGGCGAGGAATGTGTTCTACGATGTTGGCTGACCATTGGCCTAATCGCCTCTACGGAAGACACATCTGTCTATTTGGAGGCCAATATTCTTCCGCTCCGGAAGATACTCTGGCGTCGTGCGCTCACACAATACGAACGCTATATACGCTTCCATGATCACGAGAAATTGCGTTCCCTTATCTACTCGCAACCTATGCCGCCGTCCATGCATGGGAAAGCGGCGGCATCAGTCCCGCTTCCGAGAGATGCTGTTATTAATGGATTGCTACGCGTCTGTGACATTATTGGGACACCCCACAACCACATTCGCGCTCCTCTTGCCCAACATCGAATTTTTTCCTGGGACACTGTGATCTGCAGCGGGGTGAGATTTTATCAGCCACTGCTTGCCGAAGACGCCTCTGACGATGTCAGGCGCACGGCTTTTTATCCTACTCACTCCTCTTTGGGGGATTGTGATTTTGAATTGTGGACGGACGGTCCTTCATATCTTGCTGCACTCGCATCTGGATCCGCTGCGCTATTGTATGACTCCACCACGACGAATGATCTCCCTGTGGAGGTACATCGTGCAGCAGCTGGCAGCCTCGCATGCTCATATGGGGCAGACTGCCTTGCGATCGAAAGTGTTTTTAGACATCTCATACCTCCTCGTCTGGGAACATCCCAATCGCCCACACGAATGCTGGAGGAAACGGACTCCCTCTCGGCAATGGAGGCACCCCGCGTCGCCCACCGACCGCGCGAGACCGCGTTACTGAGTAAATTTGGATTATGCTTCTTTCCTTGGTGAAGCGAGGTCACCCTGTGGATTTTTTATCTTCCCCATCACACTGCGGTATCTCACGCAACGTGACGGCGGACGCTGACGCCGTCATGCCACGATCCCTCTCGCAGGACTGCGCCAATGCCTGGCAAGTGGAATTCCTTACCGCCGTTAAGCGGTTATAATGGAAGGATGTCCAGGAGGAAAAGAAAGGCGCGCAGACCGCGTGACAGGCGCTCGTCGGTGTGGCGAGGACTCTATTCCTGGTGTTGACCCGGACATCGTGCCCCGAGTGGCGGCACTGCGCACAGGCGCGATGCGACTCCTGCCCGCTTTTCGACAGGCCTGCACGCGCCCTGCGGACCACAAGCAACCCATTAGGTCGGTGGTGCCGTCCCTTCCTCACACTGAAGAGGCAGGACCACCCTGACCTCCTTCGGAACCTCCACCTGACGTTAGCGCCGCAACTCCTTGCTGACCAGCGAGCGGCGGATTGACGTCCTCCTGCCCAATCTGGGGCGGAGTGCGCTTGTCCGTCCACAGTATGAGGGCACATGCCCGACGTGCTCAGCCTGGCGTTATAATAGTTTGCGAGGGCCTCCCATGCGGATGCCACAGTGGCGCCACCGTCTTCTTAACAGGTGCCTCGCGCGCAGGTCACTATCGAAAATGCCAAGCATGCCAGCAGGCAAGACACGCAGGAAGCACAAACGCGGGTACTCGAGATGGACCAGGCTCTTCCGCCACCGCCTCATCACGGACGCCACGGGCTGCTGATCCCCGACGGACCACGGGAGACTCCGCCTCATCCACTGCGGGAATGCCCTCGTCGTTGGAAATCTGGACTGCGACTGTTTGTGACTGCCCCAGCCCGCACGACGGAATACTTGCCACTTTTGTACGGACGGCCCTTGCGCTACTCACTCGTTGTTGTAGCAGCATACCGCCAAAACAAGTTAATAAGCTGCTTTGTGATGAATGTTGGCTGCACTTCCCGTGGACCAACAATCTGCCTGGTGTGCGGGGATCTCCTTTTTGTATTGTTACTTTGCTTTTGTGTTGCTGTGTGCGCTGCACCTTATTGTGTGTGTGCGCACCCTCCGTGAGGGGTGCCGACACGACGGACCGCTCTCGCCGTATGCGCATGCGGTGGAGCCTTGTGTGCCGCTCCTGTTTGCTTCTCCCTCTTCCATCTGTGTGTGTGTGCCTGCTGCCGTGGATTGGAGTGTGTGTCGTGCGTGGTGTGCGGCGTACGGTGCATGCCTGGCTGCTGCCCTCTCCCCATGTGGTGTGCCCTCTGTGTGTGTCTGCCGCACCTCTCGTCTCCCCTGTTGCTCTCCATGCCCCTCACTGTGCAGATCAGCTCCACACCACTGAACGACCACACTCACGATGATGACGTGCCGTCTGCTGTGCGTCCTGTTGGTGCTTGCGCTGTGCTGCTGCCCGTCCGTGTGCGCGGGAGACACTCAGGAGGTCACTGAAGACCAAGCTGATATAAAAGACCTCAATTTGTCGTCTCTTTCACCTGAATCCAAGGCAGCTGCACCTAATGGAAGCGTCACCGGTCCAGCGGCCCCTGCACCAGGAGGAACACCAGGGAACATTCAGGCTGCTGAAAATTCAACCACTGAGCCGGCTGCGGAAACAATTAAGCCAGAGGCGCCAGTTTTGGCTGATCTGGAAACAAAAGTAAATACCGTGCCAAATACATCACTGACAGAGGTTACGAACGGTAATAAAGGGTCAGAAATTGACACGATACAAACCGCCGATCAAACAGATAATAATGTCAAAGTTGTTACTGAGACAACCGAGTCGATCACTACAACAGTCTCACCGGAGAACACTAAGAGTCCTGAAGGTAATGGAAAAGGCGCTAATTCATTGCCCTCTGCATCAGAAGATAAGCAGGGTACCGGTAATTCAGGGTCGTCAAGTTTGAGGTCCTCTGCGGGCTCGGGAAGAAGTGCCGTACAGAGGGATTCTACCGTTACGGAACCGCAGTCAAATAACGCGCTCAATACGACGCAGACAGAAAATAATAATGGTACTACAGGACCACGAAGTGGCACAAGTTCTTCCGCTGACCAAACAGGTAAGAACGCGGAAGATGCCGCAAAGACCACTACGACCACCACTACAACACATGCACAAAGTACTACGACTACAGAGGCGCCAGCTGTGTCGACCACCCGTGCGCCGTCACGTCTTCGCGAAATCGACGGCAGCCTCAGCAGCTCTGCGTGGGTGTGTGCTCCGCTGCTGCTCGCCGCATCCGCGCTGGCGTACACCACTCTGGGCTGAAGAGGTGTGTGCGGGCTGTGCGTGCCAGCACCCAACCGAGTGGATTTGTGCGCGTGTGTTGTGGTTCGGTGTACTAAACAGGATAAAATAATGATTGTGTGTTTTGCTTCATTTGCTTCTGCTGCCGTGCTGTGTGCTCCTTGCCGCTCCCCGCATCCGCCACGTTGAACGCATCGCGGACACACTCATAAGCATGCGCACTGGAGCCCTGGGTTTGTTTTTCTTTTCTTTTTCAATTTCTTTTTTAATTATTGTTTTTTATTGCTTTTTAAACTTGTGGTTTGCGGTGCGGTGTGCGAGCTCTGCAATCGTACTGATTCCATCTGTCTCGTGGTGTGTGCGCTGCTGCTGGGGTGCTGCCATTTTTTGCTGTGCGGTGGCTGTGCGTGGTGTAGCGGGTTTGTCTCCCTTTGTTTTCTGTGCTTTTGCAGGCGGCTCCACAGCGTTGGGCGACTCCACTGTTTGTGATGATGACTGGCCGTGTGCTCTGCGCCCTGTTGGCTCCTGCAGGGATGTGCAGCTGCTCGTGCGTGTGAGTGAGGGCTGCTGCGACGGGGTGCGTGTGCGGCCGCGGGTGATGGCGCGGTGACTGCTGGGCACGCGCGGGGTGTGATGGCTGCGGAAGGTGGACCCGTGGCCGGTGGCTCTGGACGAAGGGGGAATTTGAACTCTGAGGACAATAGCAATCAGGAAGACGAGGAGGGTGGGGGAAACACCGTGGGTGAGGACCCCAATCCCACCTCGGGAGGACCACTCACTGCTCCGACGAGGCGGGATCAATCCTGCAGCGACCCACTGCGAAATGGCACTTGCGATCCGTCCGGCACTGGCAGCGCGTCTGCTGCTCGGATGCGTGCAAGTGGACCGGAGTCTTTGGGCGGAGGGCACGCTGCAGGCACAACATCCCCACGCTCCGACGCGTCTCAGCAGGCAGCGGGTGGAGTGCATGCTGGTGGCGGGAGGACCTCCCAGGGAAGTGGGGCTTCGGAACAAACCGTCACGGGACAGTCACAGGTGCCAGGGACGGCAAAGGCAGCACCGCAGGGCGATGAAGGAGGAGAACCCGGAGTACAACACGAGGCCGACCAAACCACAAAAATGACTGTGGTGGCCTCTTGCGCAAAAACAGCGGTGGAAGAGGAGAGCCGCCAGCGGGATCGCAAGATGCACCACGTCTCTGCAGTGGCAGGAATGCTCATTATTATTATTTTTCCCTGCTCTTACCGACATGTCTAGCCACACGATGTCATCAGGGTGCCGAGGAGGTGGTCGAGCAGCGACATGAGTTTCCTGCTATGAGGCAGCTGCCATTGGGAGAAGCTTTCGGTGCGAAGGTCCTTCTTGATGCCCAGCCGTTGACGCACAGCCAGAGCGTCTGTACATTCCGGAAGCCGATGGTGCAGTGTTTTCTGGGGGCTAATTGTTGCGATTGTGGAGGCTGGCTGATCCTGCGGCAGCAGAGATCGCCTCCTGGCACTGCTGTTTCGATGCCGTGTGGCGTCAGGGTTGTGTGCGCAGCGACTTCTGTGCAGTGCGGTGCTTCTCCGTGTGGGGAAAACCATGTCACAGAAATCACATTTGAGCTCGAGAAGCGGTGGAGGATGTTCCGGATGAAATGACCGACAGTGACTGACGAGACCCGAGAATCCCGTCAATGTAGAATCACAGTGCGGACATTTCTCCTTCCGACGGCGTGTGACGGTTTGTCTCCTTACTGGAGAGACGTCTTCCTCCCTCGCCGACGGGGGAACAGTGTCCGTCCCCGGTGCAGCGGGATCGTCGTTAGAGCGCATATATGCAGACTGTTCCGGTGAGATGTTGCAGAATCGGCATTGGTTTGTGCAATCTCTCACGGCCCAGCATAGTCGGCCCCAGAGCTCAGATTCCCCGCACCTTGCCCTTGCGAGGTGAACCAGTTCCTGACGGTGAAGAACTTCCTGAGTGATCAGGTCCTTACCGCTGAGATCTGATGGCCTTGTGCCGCAAAGCAAGTAGCGATGAGTGTCTTGACGAATGGTACTACGCCACTTGTTGGTGAGCTGGGTAGTAAAACATGTCAGCAGATCCGTATGCCATAAAGGTGCGATTCCTTGCTCCGTGTATTGTCCGGTTGCCATAGTCTGCGTCGCATACTGATCTGCAGGCTCGTTAACGTGTACTCCACAATGTCCGTAACAAAACTGCAGGCGCACGGACCAGCCAGCACGCGTCAGTGTTAAGAGACGCTGCCAGAGCCGATCCTCCGTCCAGTCTGTCTGACTGTGCGGGCCCTTGGTGACGGCGGCTAGAAGGGACTGACTGTCCGTAACCACAAGCAGGGTTTTTGCCTGTGCTGGATACGATGGATACTCAGCCTTTCCATGGCCAGGAGCAGCGCACTGGATTCCGTCCTGCAGCTGCATGGGCGTGTGCCGCCGTTGGTACTGACTTTCTCTATTATCTTCGAGGAATGCAGGGATGAGAGCAGTATGCCAATCCCGGCTGAATTAGTAATGTCAACACCGCCATCCGTTGCGAGTATCCACGGTCCCCAGCGATGATGTTGCACCTTGTCGCGGTGCTGGGGCTTGGTTGCGTATAGGAACTCCGCAGCAGGGCGTTGCCGCGAGCACGACGGAGACCAAGGTGACTTCACCCCTCGAGAAGGTTCCACGACATGCCCGGTGCGGGGAGGTGAAGCGGTCTGCCTGCAGACTGTTGGTCAGAACTGCACGACCGTTTCGCAGCGGTCACTCCGTTGATATCACCCGTTGCGGTGACGTTCACAACCCTGGCACGGAGGAGGATGGCTTCATCAATATTTGGCAGCTCAACATTGCAGGCCTCTCGTCCGTGAAAATATTGCACTTGCGGCGCGATTGGAGCAGCTTCCACCTGACACCGTTCTTCTCCAGGAAATAAGTAACCGTGGTGACGTGGCGACGAAATTATCTGGCTATAATGACTGCCTTCAGGCCTCACTGGGCGCAGTGGTGGTGTTGCCGTTCTGGCGCGCCACTCTCTACCGTGCGAGCGCCTGTCGCTCCCTGGCACTGACCTTCTGGAGACCATTGCTGTCCGTGTATTTCCGCCGGGCTGTCGCAGCATTTGCGTGGCGAATCTCTGCAACCCTCCCACAGCAATTGGTCAATAATCCGCATTTATCAATATCGTTTGTCGCTTGGGCCCGAAGAGATTATCGCGGGTGGCCTGAATTTGCATCGTGAACTCTGGGACAGTCATATGTACCATCAAGGACTGGAGGCGATAATTTCGCCGCTGTTCTAATCGATATGGATTTTGGGCTGGCAAATTACCCGGCGCAGGCAACACGGATCACACATCGTAATGTCTCGTCCCCTGACGTGACTGCGTATTGCGCCCTACGCATTTCCCACGGGACATTCGCCCCTTACATGGACTCGGACCACTGCTGAATACCTTACTTGGTAGAGATGGACGATGGGACTCCACGACTAGCAAACACGCTGCCTTGACGGAAGAAAGCCACCTTTGCCCTGCGTGAAGCTGATTGGCCTGCTTTTACATCGTTGTGTGAAACCCTCTTTGCCACCGCGTCCACATGGTTGGATCCTCGCGGAGGCATCGTGCGAGCAGCTGAGCGCCATAGCCCGCGCGGCAGCCGTGACAGCTCCAAAAAGATATGGACACACGAAATAGAACAGGCCGAGTCCGCCGCCGAGGCAGCACACGAAGCACACACGTCGCCTCACCCAGAGACAGCCTACTTTGAGCCGAATGTACCCGAAAAAAGGGAGGAACGAAATCAAGCCTTACGCCGTTGCTCCGCTGTGCTTCTGGAGGCCCGCGCGAAAAGACTTGGAGCCTCACCCAGCCCGAGCTGGCGATATCTTCACGGCATGGTGGCGCCGCACCCTCATCCTCTGGAATCGGTTGTGCTCCGCACTGAACTTGGCCGCGTATGCGCCCTGCCTCGGCAACAGGCAAATCTGCTTGTCCGTCATTTTGTGCGGATTCACGTGCCCTACCGCCTTGTACTGCTGCTGCTGCTCGCTGCACTCCTTTGGTTCCTGGTGGCTGGGAAATGGATCGGCCTTTCCCGCCGTATGTACTTGACGTGGCCATCCGTGACTCTTTGCTTGGCTCAGCCCCTGGCCCCGACGACATGTTGAATGAATTCCTGCACCGTCACGGGCCCGTCGCGCGTGGCACACTTAGAACGATGATCCACAACTCCTTCGCAAATGGCAGCCTGCCTGGCTCCTGGAAAATGGGAGACGCTATTTCTATCCCCAAGCCTGGGAAGGATCCATGCCGCCCAGAGAGTTACAGACCCATCACGCTGCTCTCTGTTTTACTAAAGTTAACCGAAGGAATGACTCACCGCCGTCTGTCGGCGTTATTGCCGCACCACCCACGTCAATTTAGGATTTGCATCTCCGCGTTCTACGTCGGACGTGGTGGCACTTGTTGTCGACAAATTACCCGTGGACTGAATGAGTTTGGCATTGTGGAGCATGAGCGCCCTGGAGACGACGCCCCCACACGACGCCCTCGTCGCCATCGCTCGCTCGTAGTCTTGATTGATTTCCCGAGCGCGTTCGGCACCGTTGACCATGGGAAGTTATTCGGCATGCTTGACAGACTTCCGCGCCTTGGCCTCGAACCAAACGCTGGCTGCACAACTACCTGCGGGGCCGCTATGTTGGGGTATGCACTCGTGAACAGCACTCCCGGAAACAACTCGCCTCAGCTGGAGCACCGCAAGACGGCGTCCCGGGACCCCAACTCTCCCTCTGCTGTGTGGATGATCTGCTGCGCCGCCTGGGCAGCATCTATTCTGCCTCCGCACTCATGCACACTGACGCACTCACACTTGTTGCCTTGTGTGCGGACATCCATGCCTGTGCTGCGGCAATGCGACCGCTCTTGTCTCTTGTGGCCACATGGGCTGCCGAGCACAGCCTAAAAATCAACGTCGCTAAGAGCGAAGCTGCTCTATTCCACATCTCTTCACACACACACGGTCTGACGAGGAAATGGTCGATCTCCATCTTGTTAGCGGGAAACTACGTATTCAGTCACGCTCAGTGCGCTTGCTGGGCAACACGTTCGATCGACTTCTTAATTCTGTTACGCATGCTTCCACCGCTTCAAAGAGGACCATGCCACGCCGCTATCAGCTGCGTCTGGTCGCAGAGGCGGACGCGTCCCATCACACCATGCGATCCTTTTTGATTGGATGCGTTCATAGTGTGCTATTTCATAGTGGCGAGGCAATTGTCCCGTGACTCGCCCCCACTCACCTCCATAATATGGAAGTACGGTACCGCGACGGTGGCAAAACATTCTTGGCCTGAGCGCCTCTACGGAAGACACATCTCTCTATTTGGAGGCCAATATTCTTCCGCTCCGGAAGATACTCTGGCGTCGTGCACTCACACAATACGGACGCTACATACGCCTCCATGATCACGAGGATTTGCGTTCCCTTATCTACTCGGAACCTATGCCGCCGTCCATGCATGGGAAAGCGGCGACATCAATCCCGCTTCCGAGAGATGCTGTTATTAATGGATTGCTACGCGTCTGTGGCATTATTGGGACACCCCACAACCACATTCGCGCGCCTCTTGCCCAACATCGAATTTTTCCCTGGGACACTGTGATCTGCAGCGGGGTGAGATTTTATCAGCCACTGTTTGCCGAAGACGCCTCTGACGATGTCGGGCGCACGGCTTTTTATCCTACTCACTCCTCTTTGGGGGATTGTGATTTTGAATTGTGGACGGACGGTCCTTCATATCTCGCTGAACTCGCATCCCGATCCGCTGCGCTATTATATGACTCCACCACGACAAATGATCTCCCTGTGGAGGTACATCGTGCAGCAGCTGGCAGCCTCGCACGCTCATATGGGGCAGACTGCCTTGCGATCGAAAATGTTTTTAGACATCTCATACCTCCTCGTCTGGAAACATCCCAATCGCCCACGCGAATGCTGGAGGAAACAGACTCCCCGTCGGCAATGGAGGCACCCCGCGTCGCCCACCGACCGTGCGAGACCGCGTTACTGAGTAAATTTGGATTATGCTTCTTTCCTTGGTGAAGCGAGGTTACCCTGTGGATTTTGTATCTTCCCCATCACACTGCGGTATCTCACGCAACGTGACGGCGGACGCTGACGCCGTCATGCCACGATCCCTCTCGCAGGACTGCGTCAATGCCTGGCAAGTGGAATTCCTTACCGCCGTTAAGCGGTTATAATGGAAGGATGTCCAGGAGGAAAAGAAAGGCGCGCAGACCGCGTGACAGGCGCTCGTCGGTGTGGCAAGGACTCTATTCCTGGTGTTGACCCGGACATCGTGCCCCGAGTGGCGGCACTGCGCACAGGCGCGATGCGACGCCTGCCCACTCTTCGACAGGCCTGCACGCGCCCTGCGGATCACAAGCAACCCATTATGTCGGTGGTGCCGTTTATTCCTCACACTCAAGAGGAAGGACTGCTCCGACCTCCTCCGGAACCTCCGCCTGGCGTGTCTGCGGCACTTCCTCGGAGAAAGACGAGCAGCAGGTCAGCGTCGTCCTGCCCAAGCTGCGGCAGCGTCTTCTCTTCCGCCCATCATATGAAGGCACACGCCCGACGCACTAACCCCGGCACTCCAATCGTTGCAAAAGGCCTCACATGTGGATTCTGCGACAGCTCCACGGTCTCCCAACAAGTGCCTCACGCGCAGGTCACTACCGAAAATGTCAAGCGTATCAACGAGCAAAAAACGGACGACGCACCTCTGCAAGCTCCAATGACAGCCGTAGCCCTTCAGCCACTCCTCTGCTGCAACCCCCACCAGCCGCTGAGCCCCCGACAATCCACTGGAGGCCCTGCCGCACACGCTGTGGGAATGCCGCCGTCCTCGACAACTGAGCATTCGAATCCTTTGAGGAAATCCATTTCGCATGACAGCGTTATTCGAGACGGGAAAGTTGGCCACGTTTCTACGGAGAGCCCTCAGGCGATCAATGAATAGTGACCATGTTGTATAACGAAAAGAAAAAGAAAAAACGTTGGCGGGCAGACGGGCTAGCAAAGAAAACAAAATTACTTTGAGAAGAGAAGTGATAAAAAATAAAATAATAATAATAAAGGAAATTTTTCGGCCAAGCGGAGCTCCGGCTGTCGCGAACTTTTTTTTTTGACGAACATTTTTTTGGATCAATTTAATTTTCATTGCTTTCCCTTTTCTTCTTGTTTTTGTCGAGATGGCGAGTGGAGTCACCAACGGGGAGGTTGCTGCGGAGAGGGCCTCTGATGATGAAATCTGTGGGATATGCTTCACGAAGATTTACCCCTTTGATAATCCAAGAGGTCGATTGAACTCCTGCAGTCACATTTTTTGCGCACACTGCATCAAGGAATGGGCGCAGAGCACAAACGTCTGTCCTCATTGCAAGGCCCGGTTTACTCGCATCTTCACTGTGGATCCAGAAGGAAAGGAGGAGATCACGAAGGTAAGAAAGCGAAACTACAGACTATGGGAGGATGAAGAGGAAGAAGAAGATCAGAACAATAGGGATGGTAATCGGGTCTCGACGCCTATTTTTTTCGTGTGTCATGTGTGCGGTGAGAGCGATAATGCGTCTCGGATGATTCTTTGTGACCGCCGACAATGTTCGAATACGGTGCATCTCGACTGCGTAAATCTGTCAGAGCAGCCAGCGGAGTATTTTTGTCCAGATTGCACACGGCTTCGTGCATCAGTGTCAGTTGCCATCACTTCCTCATCCCTTTCCTCGGCAACTCCGTTGGCAGCGACCGACGCGGTGAGTGAAACACCTCTCAACAGTGAATGTCCAAAGGATGATGCTAATGATACGGATAATAGTACGCCTCTAGTGGCGTTCCACCCAGAAGCCGTTCCTCCATGCCAGATAAACGGCAAGAAGGTGTTTGTTGCACCCCCAGCGTGGCTGCAAGAGGCAGTTGAACGCAGTAATTTGCAGCATTCGGAGGCACGGCGACCTTTACCTTTGGAAGCACCGACAATATCAAACGACTTTGCACCTCAAACAAGTCCTGTTCCTCATGAAACGAGAATGAGTGGGGGGACGCCGACGGTGTTGCCGGATGAAGATGAAGAACTATACCGTTCTGCGGAGGCAGCTATGCAACAATTTACTCAACGGCAGGCGCAGAAGGAGCAGCAAATACGTCATCGTCGACAGCGCCAACCTGGAAGTCCTTCGTATGACCCTGCTCTGCTTCGAGCCACTGCACAACGAAGTAAACGGTTTCACAGTAGTGCTAACGTGCCTATGGGCTGCGCGGAAACTACCGACGTATTGGACCCCGAGTCTCGACATCGTGAAGAGGAGGCTCTTGGGCGCCGTCTTGCCCTGGAGATACTTCCCATTCTTCGTCGAAATCGTATTCTTCAAGAACATAAAATCTATTTGGGTGATAATGGGAGTATTGTTGCGGCTTCTTTGCCTTCAAAATTTGAGGGAGCGCAAGGTGAAAGAGATCTTTACAATCACGCCATGACGGAGGGTAGACGCATCGCCCGGGAACGCATGGAAGCCAAACTGGGGGATGCTCGGCGGAGAAAGGAGCGTCTTATCAGAGTGCAAGCTCAGAGAGAGTCCGTTGCCTTGGCGAAGCTCGCAAGAATTGTTGCTTCCCACCGGGCTGTCCCAAGGATGAAATGAGTTGTAAGCAATTCGGGGAGGTTTTGCGCAGTTTCAGTGAAGATGATGATGATGTTGTTGTTGTTGCCGTCGTCCTGTTGTTTGCTCGTTTTTTGTTTGTTTATTTATTTATTTTTTTTTGGTTTCTTTGGGGGTGCAAGTTTACCTCTATGTGGGCGTTATATAATATGTATATATATATATATATTTCTTTCTTTCTCTGTTTGCTTTAGATTTGTCACTTATCATACACGGAACTGGTTCTTTGGATAGGGGATACAAGGATAAGGGAGAAGGAATCTTGACGGAATTCGATGGCAGACGGTGTTATTGCTCATGAAGAAGTATTGAGACATGTGTATGCCTTTTTACAGGCATACGGCTACAAAAATACCCTTCTTGCACTGCAGAACGAGTCCCGAGTGCCATTCAACACCATAGATGTTGTGGAACCGAAAGAACTTACCGAACAAAACGCTTCCGTGGCGTCTACAAGCCCTGCCGGTTTGGAGCGATCTGTTCTTGAAGGGCAGTGGCACACGGTGCTAGCAAACTATGTGGACTCTCTGTTGCTTCCCATGGAAGTATTGTTTGACTTGTACGAACACATTTTTGTGGAACTTTTGACTCTGCAGGGCTTTGTACATGCGGCAAGGGCTTTTTTCACAAACTCCCCGATCTTTGTAGCCATGAAAAAATCATCTTTGGCACGGTATGCGCGTTTGCAGCAGTTATTAGACTCTCACAAGAACATTTTTTTAGATGAAATGAATAAACATGGAAATGGAGGGGTGTCTATTGAGGTGAAAGAAAAAAGGGAGACATTATTGAGGACGTTACAAGAAGCCATCACTTGGAACACAGAGCCATACAATGGATTTTTACCAGCGGCGCTATGGAGGCTGCAAAATGGTCTGGATGGCAATCATCGCAGCACAAAAAACCCATCATTAAAGCGAGAACGACCCGATGATTTTTCGGCATCATCTTTGGTTTCTTCAGCCTTGTTTTTGCACTATCCACTTCAATGTCCAAAGAATATTCGACGTAAAATTGTCTTTGACAATGCCGAGAGACCCATTTCGTGTGTTCATACTTTGCTCCCAAATGCGGTTGATAAAGAGAAGATGTTTACAGCCCTTATTGTTGGCAAGACAGACGGGACGGTAGATTTCTTAGATGGGGATTCTGCTTCATCAGTGGGGAGCTCCGTTGGACATACCGACGGTGTGTTGAGCATTGCCCTTGATGCTGCGGAGGAGTCTTCTGCGACATGGGTTGCAGTGGGATATCGAGATGGCTGCGTAAAAATCTATAATGCGGAGACACGAAAGTTGGTACGTCGCTTTTCTCAGGTTCACACCAGTGGTGTGAAATCTCTCGTCTTTGCAGGCGTACGAAATCCTGCCCTTTCGGGGCACCACTCCTGGGTGGTTTCCGGTTCATTCGATGGTGCCATTCAGTTACTAGACATCCGTGAAGGGAAGTCCTTACAACGAATAGCTGATGCACATCATTCCAATTATGTGCTTTCAATCTGTATTTTGGCTGGGAAAACAGGTGGTCTTGTTACTGCTGGAAACAATGGGACTCTTTGCTTTTGGTCCATTTCTGCTACGGGGTTGAGGCAAGCTGGACCCGCCCGCACACTTCGATCTATTGATGCATCGTTAAAGGAGGCGATTCCAACGCGTCTATTGCCTGTGGAGGATAAGGAGTCAGAAGGGGAAGTGCTGGTGCTGACACGTGGCCAACGTGCTCTGCTTTTAAGTGTTCGTTTCACGGATGATATAACAAACCCACTCGTTATTTTGATGCGCAGCAGCATCTGTACGCCTCGGCCAGTGTATGCGGGCTGCGTACGTGTCATTGAAACCCCTGCTCTCGCCGCCCCACTTCTCTCTCTTTTTCTCACAGACCGTGAGGGTACGATCCTTCTATATAATTTGGAGATGTCGTGGAGGTTGGGTGGGGAAACGGCGGGCGGTGGATGTCGGATGGAGCTGCGTCCTGCTGATGAGAGCTCTATTGTGGTGGTGGACCATGGGGAGAGGGTGGAGGATTTGAATCTGGTGAATGTCCTTGGCAAGTCAAATTCATTGCTTGCCTTTTCCCCATCCCTCTCCGCCATGTATCTTCTTTCCTGGAACTAATAGGAAAAAAATGGGTTGATACTCTTGTGGTGAAGAAGAGGAGGACGAACAGCAAAGATCCACTTGGAGGCAACAAGTGAATGAGACGGAGCAGGAATGTGCTATCCTTTTTGATTCATATATACACATTTTTGTCTGTTTGCTGCCTATTTTGCGCAATCATTTGCACTTACCTCGTAATTCGCTTTTAATCTATTTATGCATATGTATATTATAGTAGTTGATAGTCGCTGTCATGAGCTACAAGTACCTCCACGACGGTAAGGAACATTTTATTAATGGAGTTGGCACCGAATTGGCGTGGGGCTGGTCCCCTGCTATTGACTTTACGGAGATTTTGGAGCGGCGAGAGAAACACGCAACTGATGACACCGAATATGTTGCTGAGGAGACCAAAGAAGAGCCAGAAGAAGGCAAAACAACGAATGGGGATAATGTAAAAAAGGACAGAAAATTTGATCTGGATATTGATGCCATGATTGCGGCGATACAACAACGCATACCGAAAGAGAAGAAAGATGAAGGCAGTAGAGACGTTGTGCGTGTTCTCCTCTGTGGGGCATGTGATATTAGACACATATTCCGCACGCTTTCGAGTCTACAAGTCAAGTCAAAAATGGCCGCACAACCGCCTCCCGTCTATCATTTCTTCATTTACGAGCCCAATCTGCGGATACATTGCCGTTACCTTTTTTTTTTACAGTGGCTGCTAGATAGCATGTTTTCCCTGGATGAGCTGGAGGAGCAAGTGCTGATGTTTTTGGATGTCTTTGGAAACGCCCTGACTCGCGACATCACCTCTGCACAGAGTCGAAGTGTGTCCCAGCGACTGTTACGTGTGCTTAGAAACGAGGAGGGTGAACTTGCCCGGCTTGTCTCATTCACGGAGATGAAGTCCAAGGAACGTGATTTTGTGGAGGAGCAAATTGTGCATTGGGCCTTTGA